GCTCTCTCTGCCTTCTGAGAGCTGAGATTAAAGGTGTGTGACAGGACAGCAGACAGGGAATAAGTAAAAGTTAAAATTTAGGAAATAATTCATATAAATAACTTTAAGTTAAAAATAGGTAGCTACGGATCTCACTGTAGTCTGCCTACCTAGTACACTCAGGGGCCTGGGACTCAGCAGTAGGGAAAGCAAACAACATAACAAACACTAAAAATAGAATAAATGTTTTAAATTTAAAAATTAACATAAAAATTATCTTTCCCGGTTTTTTGTTTGTATGTGTGGTTGGTTGGTTTTCAAAGACAGGGTCTCTGCATAGCCCAGGCAGTTCTGGAACTCCCTATGTGGACTAAGCTAGCCTCCAGTATACTGGGCTTAAAGGCCCAGTGTTTGTTTTTAATTTGCAAACTTTTCTTATTTTTAAAAAACCTACAGATAACTAAAAACATCACACTATTACTCCCTCCCTCCCTCCCTGAAACCATTATTCATGTTCTTTGCTAGCCTGTGTTTCCTGTTAATAGTTCAAGTTCTGGCAGGGCATCTGTGGTACACTCATGTCCTTAGAGCTGGGGCTGGGGACTTGAACAGGGATGGTGGGACAACCCAGGATCTAATCAGGCAAGCCCACCCCCACTACCACGGCAGCGTGAAGAACCAAACAACCAGGGCGATTACCAGAATCTAGGAATAACCAGAACTCTAGAATTCCAGCTGGAGGAGTGATCCCCTGGCAGAAATGGCAACTTCAGAAGAGAAATGTAACCACTCACAGCTGTGCCTGCTAAAATGGGAGCCAGGAAAATCAGGATTTTCTGCTGCCCCCTTCATCCTTCCATTGACCACCTCCAACCAGAAACCCACGGGCAGGAGCCACCTCTGGAGGTGCTGAGCAGGGTTGAGAGACAAACAGACTGACCTGTGGGATCAAACCGGGCAGCGTGGGAATTCCCTGAGGAGCTGCTGAGACACTGGCTGCCCACCCTGCTCGGTCCCACAAGTAAATAAGATGTAATTTGAAAAGCAGAAAGTGCAGGGCTGGAGAGGGACTGCAGTTAGAGCTCGCTCTGCTCTTGGGGAGGAGCCTGGGTTCTGTTCCAAGCCCCTGCACAGGAAGCTCACACCCGCTGTGACTGCAGCTGCAGAAGATGCAGTGTGTGCTTCTGGCCTCACCGGGCACCTGCACAGCCATCGAGCACACACAAGCAAGCAAGCCCACAGGCACGAATAAAAACAAATTCTTTTCAAAAGGAACTTAAAGAATGAAAAGTACACTATAGCTTCATTTTTAGTATATTCTGTATATATGGATGGGGTCAGCCACCTGCTGCTGTGTGTACTTGGTGTACATGGATGGTGGCTGCTGCTGTGTATACTCGGTGTACATGCATGGTGTCTGCTGCTGTGTATACTCGGTGTACACGGATGGTGTCTGCTGCTGTGTATACTCGGTGTACATGCATGGTATCTGCTGCTGTGTATACTCAGTGTTCATGCATGGTGTCTGCTGCTGTGTATACTCGGTGTACACGCATGGTGTCTGCTGCTGTGTATACTCGGTGTACACGCATGGTGTCTGCTGCTGTGTATACTCGGTGTACACGGATGGTGTCTTCTGCTGTGTATACTCGGTGTACACGCATGGTGTCTGCTGCTGTGTATACTCGGTGTACACGCATGGTGTCTGCTGCTGTGTATACTCAGTGTACACGGATGGTGTCTGCTGCTGTGTATACTCGGTGTACATGGATGGTGTCTGCTGCTGTGTATACTCGGTGTTCATGCATGGTGTCTGCTGCTGTGTATACTCGGTGTACATGCATGGTGTCTGCTGCTGTGTATACTCAGTGTACATGCATGGTGTCTGCTGCTGTGTATACTCAGTGTACACGGATGGTGTCTGCTGCTGTGTATACTCGGTGTACATGGATGGTGTCTGCTGCTGTGTATACTCAGTGTACATGCATGGTGTCTGCTGCTGTGTATACTCGGTGTACATGGATGGTGTCTGCTGCTGTGTATACTCAGTGTACATGGATGTTGTCAGCCGCCTGTCAGCTGCTGTGTATACTCGGTGTACACGGATGGTGTCTGCTGCTGTGTATACTCAGTGTACATGGATGTTGTCAGCCGCCTGTCAGCTGCTGTGTATACTCGGTGTACACGGATGGTGTCTGCTGCTGTGTATACTCGGTGTACATGGATGGTGTCTGCTGCTGTGTATACTCGGTGTACATGGATGGTGTCTGCTGCTTTGTATGCTCGGTGTACATGGATGGTGACAGCTTCCTGTCTGCTGCTGTGTATACTCGCTGTACGTGGATGGTATCAGCCACCTGTCTGCTGCTGTGATAAAACAGCGTGGCTAAGGCAGTTTATAGAAGAAAGAGTTTATTTGGGCTTCTGGCTCCAGAGAGTCGTGATACTGAAGCAAAGGCAGGAGCAAGAAGCTGGGAGTTTACTGAGCTGCAGAGCAGCAGGCTGCTCTGGATGTTGGCTCCACCTCTCTCCAATTTCAAAATGAAGGACGTACCATTTCTGTTAGCTCTGGAGCCACCAGGTAGCAGTTTAACTCTGAGACTGAGCGTGCAGCACAGAAACTCTTTTCATCCAAGTTACAGCCAAATCTGCCATGCAGAGCACTGTGCAGCCTGGAAACATCTCTCTGTATGGCGGCAGAAATCCTCCATGCTCTCCTGCTTGTCTAAGGCTTATCTAAGCCTGATCCCGCCGTCACCGTCTGCCCAGGTGCGGGCGGGAAGCGCTGAGCCATTGGCATGGTCTCGGAGTACTTTCTTCCCAATCCCAAGCAGGAACACAAACATCCAGTCTAATAATAGCCATTGAAATGTTTAAAGCCAGAGTTCGCACTGGCGGCACAGCCCAGAAGGGTGCGTTTTAAAACCACGCAGCTTTTTTCCTGCTAAGGCTGCTGAGTCAGGGAAATTTCTCTGCAGCACGCCACCAACAAACAGCAAAAAACTGTGTTAAACACTCTCTCTCTCTCTCTCTCTCTCTCTCTCTCTCTCTCTCTCCTTTTTAAGCCCTCTCACGTTTTTAAGTGGATGGGCGCCAAACTGTAGTAAAAGGATCAGCAGGCCACTTCCTGCCACCCGACTCCTGGCCACTTATACCCTGAAATAATCACAGAAACTGTATTCATTTAAACACTGCCTGGCCCATTATTTCTAGCCTCTTCTTGGCTAACTCTCACATCTTGATTAACCCATTTCCATTAAATCTGTGTAGCACCACAAGGCTCTGGCTTACCAGGAAAGATCCTAACCTATGTCTGTCTTGAGCCAGAGATTCATGGTGTCTGCCTGACTCTGCTTCTTTCTCCCAGCATTCTGTTCAGTGTACTCCGCCTATCTAAGCTGCTGTCCTATCAAAAGGCCAACGCAGTTTCTTTATTTGACCAATGAAAGTAACATATAGACAGAAGACCCTCCTACATCACCTCCATATGTACAGCATGGCTTATATCCTCTGTCTTAGTCACTGTTCTACTGCTGTGAAGAGATACTGTGGCCATGCAACTCTTATAAGAGAAAGCATTTGATTGGGTCTGGCTTACAGTTTCAGAGGTTATTCCATAATCATCATGGCAGGAGCATGGCAGCATGCAGGCAGACATGGTGTTGAAGAGATGGCTGAGAATCCTGTATCTTGACCATAGGCAGAGAGAGGCAGAGAAGACAAGGCCTGGTGTGGGCTTCTGAAACCTCAGATTCCACTCTCAGCAACACACTTCCTCTAACAGGCCCTCACCTCCCGAGTCTTCCCTGGTGACTAAGCATTCAAATAGATGATGATATGGGAACCATTATCATTCAAACCACCATACCTTCATAAACATGCATGCATACATACACGTATATAAACTAAAAAAGACTTCATTCCAGGGGAACTGGGGAATGTAGTCGTCTTAGGGTTTCTATTGCTGTGAAGAGACACTGTGACCATGACAACTCTTATAAAGGACAACGTTTCATTGGAGCTGGCTTGCAGTCGAGAGGTTTAGTCCATTATCATCACGGTGGGAGCATGGCAGCATGCAGGAAGATGCAGCGCTGGAGAAGGGGCTGAGAGTTCCGCATCCAGATCAGCAGGCAGCAGTAAGAGAGACTGAGACACTGTCCTGGCTTGAACCTCTGCAACATCAAAGCCCACCCACAGTGACACCTCTCCTCCCACAAGGCTACACCTCCCATAGTGCCGGCCCCTGTGTCTGGGGACTATTTCCATTCGAGCTACCACAGTGGGGCAATGGCAGGGCACTTACCTAGCGTGTGCAAGCACCTGAGTCCTGCCCCAAGCATTGCAAAAATTTAAAAATGCAGTTCAAGGCACGCGGCGACAATAATCCCACGGCACCTGCTGTAGTGAGTGGTTGCCTCTAAATGGGTCGGCTGGTTCCGGCCCATGATGTCAGTAAGGCACCATGGTCATCTGTAAGGGGCCCCATTACTATTCCTGTTTTGTAGTCAAGAGCACTGTGGTTGACAGGACAAGTCCGCATGGTGGCTCAGTCACTGCTGGGAGTTCTTGAAAATGCTAAGCCCTCATTGATGGGTGCTGTGTGATTGTGTGCTGGCGTGAAGGCTGGCTTCTGGAGCAGATTCCAGCCCCGCTCCTTGGTTCACTGCAACTCTCTGTAACATGGAGACCCCTGTAACATCCATCTTGGGGGATTAAATACATGCTCAGGACAGCACCTTACCCTACTAAGCACCTGGTTAAAATTAGCCACTGCTAATGGGGGCCTCTGGGAATGTGGTTAAAATCAGCAGCAAAGCTCGGTTCCCAGGAAGAAATGGAAGGAGTCTGAGTTTCTGAAGCTCGTCACCAGCCGGGAAAATCCCAGAGCGGAGAATTCAGTCGTCAAGAACATGGCGCACCGTTAAGTTTCTAATGAAGGGGAAATGGTCAGGGGGACAAGAAGGTGACTCTGGGCGGGTTTGCATGCATTGTGACGTTGTTTCCTCCCCTTTCTATAGAACTCCATGAAGGTGATGTTCAAATGCCTTTGGAAAAACTGTGGCAAGGTGCTGAACACGGCAGCAGGCATCCAGAAGCACATCCGGGCCATCCACCTCGGGTAAGGTAGCCCACTGCTCCCCTTGGAGGTGGGGCAGCCTCACAGCACAGCCCAGCAGCTCCGCTCTCAGACAGTGTGCACTGCACTGTGCCTCATGCTCCTCCTCATCCCTGCAGTGGAGGGGACACTGCTGATAGGCAGCCACAGAGTCTCCAGCCGCCCAGCCCCCCTCCCTAAACTCTTTCCTGGGTCATTGACTCAGGTCCTCACTTAAAATGACTGAGGTCAAAGACAGGCTGTGCAAAGATACAAAGTATAGAGCACAGCACCAGGGCTCCTCCCCTGGGGGCGGTGAGCACACTTCCAAGAGTCCTTGAGCCCCTGGTGTCTGTAAAATGAAACATCCAAGCGTTCATTGTTTTTGCAGGTCATGACTTAGACCCTCAAAAGCTACTGTCACTTTAAGAGAGTCTCCGAATGAACCATTCCCCACCCCCAAGGGCAAAAGGGAAAAAGTCATCACACCTTCAATGATAAAGCCAGATGAGGTTCAGACTCAATCTGTTGCCCAGATGAGCCTGTTTTCTTCATAAGAACCTTCCTACAGAGACACAGCTAGGGTTAGGAGCCCGCAGCTAGGCTCACAGCCAATGGCCCTGGGGTTAACCGGACATGCTTTCCTCCTGGCTCTGTTTTGTCCAGTTATCTGGGCTTTAGAAGGGATGCCCCACGACCATAGTTGTCACCAGTGTGCAGTAGGCAAATGTCAGCATCTGAGTACATCTGAGTGCTCAACACAGAAGGAAGGGTTCTTGTATCAAACAAAACGAATGTGGAGAAATAAGAGTCACCTTATCAGAAGGGAGCACACGCAGGAAGTGTGTTCTGTGTGAAAGTGGTGTAGGTGGACAGGAAGAGTTCTGAGGTTGCAGCCATGGCCCCGTTGGCTGTGAAGAGCAGCACAGAGCTGGCTCCCTAAGTCTTCAGGCAGATGTTTGGGACACACCAAAGCTTTGTAGAGCAGGATGCCCATAAGGTCACCAAGCATCAGGAATGTGGCCAAGTGAGGCCAGGTTGTGTTACCCTAGCTGAAGGCTCTGCCTGCGTGTTCAGGAAATGTCACAGTACTGCAGTGCCCCCTCCCCTGCCCCCTGGAGTGAGAATTCCTGCACAGTCTGCCCCCAGATCACTGCTTAGACTGGCAGAAATAGCTCAGAGCAATGGAACAGTTCAGGAATGGAGCAGGTGCTCATCCCTTGTCCCCCTCTCTGGGGTCCTCAGTGGCATGCCTGTCAGAAAGCCAGGCCCCACCTGACCTGATATGGCGCAGAGACATGTCCCCAGATGCCAGCAGAGAGCTTGCCAACAAGCCCTGCTAAACAGCGCATGTGCTCCATGAATGTGTATTTAGAGACTGAGAGAGCATGCAGTTTGCATTCCTAGGGGGGGCAGCATTCCTGGGTCAGCCACTTGTTGACTTCCTTAGGATCCTTTAACCAGCATGCTCTTACAGTCACCTCGGTGAGTTGTAGTTCACCATCCTGCCAGCCATTGCCCGGGAAAGGAGCTCCCGAAGGTTACAGAACCTCAAGCCCCCAGCCTGTGCTTTCTCAGACTGAGGAACCCAGTCTTTCCCCTTACTCCACGAGCCCAGGTGTGCCACTGTTGGATACTGGGCGTGTTAGTAAGCAATGACCGAGAGGCATGTCAGCCCCGCCCAAAACCAACAGGTCCTGCACCTATGAAAGTTCAGACATGCCATGCAGACTTAAAAAGTGCATGGTTTTCTCCTGTTTCTCAGCCTCTCCTCAGCTCCCAGTCTTCAGGGGCTGATCCTCTTCTGTCCCCCTGGAAAATTCATGATTTCCCTCAGGTCTGAGTGTCTATTAGTTGCACTTGGCAGCCAGCAGCAGCTCAGCCTGCCTGTGACTGGAAAGGAAGCAGGGACAGGAATAGAACAGGCACTCATTCCTTGTCCCCCTCTCTGGGGTCCTCAGTGGCATGCCTGTCAGAAAGCCAAGCCCCATCTGACCTGATACAGCGCAGAGACACATCCCCAGATGCCAGGGCTCTGAAGCGTAGAGGAAATGGAGCGAGGCTGTGAGAAGCCACTGATCTGGCCAACCCAAAGGCTGGAGGAGAACATTTTATTTTAGGTTTATACAGGGATGACTCAAGGGGAAACAAGTTTTCAGTTAGCCACCTCTGGCCATGCTGCCACGGGTGCCCATGGACTGAGGGTGCCCCTTGCTCTGACTCCTGCCATAGGTGCCCATGGACTGAGGGTGCCCCTTGCTCTGACTCTTGCCATAGGTGCCCATGGACTGAGGGTGCCCCTTGCTCTGACTCTTGCCATAGGTGCCCATGGACTGAGGGTGCCCCTTGCTCTGACTCTTGCCATAGGTGCCCATGGACTGAGGGTGCCCCTTGCTCTGACTCCTGCCATAGGTGCCCATGGACTGAGGGTGCCCCTTGCTCTGGCTGCTGCCACGGGTGCCCATGGACTGAGGGTGCCCCTTGCTCTCAGCCTTTAATCGCAGCACTCACACAGTGGGCAGAGACAGGCAGATCTCTGAGTTGGAGGCCAGCCTGGTCTACACACAGAGTTAGTTCCAGGACAGCCAGGGCTACACATAGAAACTCTGTCTCGAAAAACCAAAACCAAACAAAACATAAACAAAAATTTCCGTCAAAGCAGAGTCTATGTTTTGTTCCTGTTAGGAGGTGGAATGTTTTATATGTAATATATTCAAATAAATGATTCTCAGACAAATAAATGGATGGATAGGCAGGAATGTGGATGAACGGTGAACAGATAGATGGGTAGGTGGATGAACGGGTAGACGGATAGGGAGGTAGGTGGATGAACGGGTGGACAGATAGGGAGGTAGGTGGATGAACGGGTGGACGGATAGGGAGGTAGGTGGATGAACGGGTGAACAGATAGGGAGGTGGGTGGATGAATGGGTGAACAGATAGGGAGGTAGGTGGATGAACGGGTGGACAGATAGGGAGGTAGGTGGATGAACGGGTGGACAGATAGGGAGGTAGGTGGATGAATGGATCGATGCATAGGTGGGAAGGTGGATGAACGGGTGGACGGATAGGGAGGTAGGTGGATGAACAGGTGAACAGATAGGGAGGTAGGTGGATGAACGGGTGGACGGATAGGGAGGTAGGTGGATGAACGGGTGGACAAATAGATGGGTAGGTGGATGAACGGGTGAACAGATAGATAGGTAGGTGGATGAACAGGTGAACAGATAGGGAGGTAGGTGGATGAACGGGTGGACGGATAGGGAGGTAGGTGGATGAACGGGTGGACAGATAGGGAGGTAGGTGGATGAATGGATCGATGCATAGGTGGGAAGGTGGATGAGCGGGTGGACGGATAGGGAGGTAGGTGAATGAACGGGTGGACAAATAGATGGGTAGGTGGATGAACGGGTGAACAGATAGATAGGTAGGTGGATGAACAGGTGAACAGATAGGGAGGTAGGTGGATGAACGGGTGGACGGATAGGGAGGTAGATGGATGAACGGGTGGACAGATAGGGAGGTAGGTGGATGAACGGGTGGACAGATAGGGAGGTAGGTGGATGAACGGGTGGACAGATAGGGAGGTAGGTGGATGAATGGATCGATGCATAGGTGGGAAGGTGGATGAACGAGTGGACGGATAGGGAGGTAGGTGGATGAACGGGTGGACGGATAGGGAGGTAGGTGGATGAACGGGTGGACGGATAGGGAGGTAGGTGGATGAACGGGTGGACGGATAGGGAGGTAGGTGGATGAACGGGTGGATGGATAGGGAGGTAGGTGGATGAATGGATGGGTGGGTGGTAGAAAGACTGCTCTAAGAAGTCTTTATTTTCTGTTTCTGTGGCATAATACCTGATGCCAAGTAAGTGAAAGGAGCGGAAGTTTATTTGGCTCACGGTTCTGGATGCTGAATCTATGGCATTAATATAGGCATCTAGATGTTCAGCATCTGGTGAATTTGATATGATCAGACAAACCAAATCTACTTGCTTGTCTTCGCCTCCTTTCGGAGCCACTAGTGCTATCACGCCCGCATCCTCTTGACCTTTCCTAACACCATTGGTGTAAGAGTGTGGAAGTCACGTTCCTAGCAAACAGTGTTGGTGGTGGAAGCTGGTGAAGACCTCCCTCAAAGGGTCGCCGAGTGCTGCAGGGCAAATGTGTCGGCTCCCAGGCTAGCAGAGAGGAGAGTGTTCCAGGTCGAAGGAGTGGTCTGCCCAAGGTGGAGGCAGATGGACAGATCGCTGAGCTTTGCTTTCTCCTCCCTAGGCGAGTTGGGGAATCCGACTACAGTGATGGAGAGGAGGACTTCTACTACACTGAGATCAAGCTCAACACGGACTCCATGTCTGAGGGCCTGGCCCCGGTTTCGCCCTCGCAGTCCCTGACCTCACCTCCCACGTTTCCTGTCCCAGACTGCAGCCGAACAGAAGCGCCTTGTGCCAAAACAGACCCCAAGCCGATGACGCCGCTGAGCCGCTCAGCCCCCACCACCCTCTACCTCGTGCACACGGACCATGCTTACCAGGTAACATGCTAGGGTCCTGTCAAAAGCAGTAGCCCCACCCTCAGCCTAGAACTGCAAGAGAACTCAACAAAACACAGCTCCATGCATGGCAACCAGTAATTTAGTTGGTTTTTTTTTTTATTTTTCAAACTCTTAGTCATGATCTCAAGTCGTAAGTGGTGGATCATGCGTTTAATCCCAGCACTCGGGAGGCTGAGGCAGGAGGATTATGAATTTGAGGCCAGAGCTGGGCTATAGAGTTTAAGGGCAGCCTGACCTACATAGTTGAGACTTGGTCTCTAAAGCCAAACAACAAGAAGAAGGGTCTGAGCTCTTGGTTACTCAGGAGCCTGAAGCAGGAGGATCACAAGTTTGAAGCTCGCTAAGATGATAGGGCACATCCATGACCATCCTGGGCAAGTTGGTGGTAAAAGGGAAAGCAGAGGGCTTGGGGTGAGCTTAGTCCTACAGCACTTGCTCCTTTGCCAATCTTCAGAACCGCTGGGGGACAGTCATGACCTCATTCACATGGACCCTGGAGATTGTTCTTGAACTCCCCAGAACCAGCTGAAGGCCCAGTCCCTTAGAAGCTGTTAAAAGGGTAAAACTCCTTAGCCACGTAAAGTCCTCAGGTTGGTGACTGGCATAGCTTCCAAGCATCTGATATGTGAAAATTAAGCCAAAAATGGTGGCATGCACCTTTGAGCAGGGGACCTCTGAGTTCAATGCTAGCCTGATTTACAGTATTAAGTTCCGGGTCTGTCAGGGCTTTTTAGTGAGACCTTGTCTCAGAAGGGTAAAGTCAAGAGACCAGCAATGTATCAGGCTTGCCCCAAGCCTAAGGAGTCGCTCAGTCCCAGGACCTACATGGTATAAGGAAAGAACAATGTTTGGAAATTGTCTTCTGGCCATCCATATGCTATACACATGGCCACAGGAAATACATTTCTTTTAAAGGTGTCATTTGTTTTGTTTTGTTTTTGAGACAGTGTCCCTCAATATCCCTGGCTGTCCTGGAACTCACTAGAGTACACTGGCCTCGAACTCACAGAGATCCGCCTGCCTCTGCTTCCCAAATGCTGGGGCTAAAGGTGTGTGACACCATGCCTGGCTAATTTAACATTTTTAATAAAAACTAAAGTGAATGAAAAATTGAGCCTTGTTTGGCAAGCTTTGGAGCAGTGACAGAGGTCATACCACATAGCTGGGATTTCAGCATCTCCACTGCTAAGTAAGTAGCTAACCCTCTCCAGTGGCTGCTAGTGTTCCCCAGTCCAACAGTGTCAGCACTCTGTAGAAGTTGTTTCAAATGGAAATTGTTTGAACACTACCCAGACCAATCGACTGGGTCATAGCTAGGACTCCAGAAGCCTAGGGACTTAGAAGTAAATCCTTCTAACACAGGCCATGGCTACCCTAACAATTAGGGTACCTCAGGCAACTTCATAAAAATCTTCTCTGCATTTTTGAAATTACATTCCCCTACCTATTTTATAAAAAAATCCAAATAACTGTATAGTACACTGTTGACTGAGTTTTCTGTCTCACCTGGTTCCCATGATCTACATTAGTTATAAAATGATTGGCCCATTAGCTCAGGCTTCTTATAACTTATAACTCTTACAACTTATATTAACCCATTATTCTTGTGTATGTCAGACACATGGCTCAGTACCTTTTTCAGCAAGGCAGTCACATCTTGCTTCTTCTGTGGCTGGGCAACGAATGCATAGGAATGGGCTTCCTCCTTCCCAGAATTCTCCTGTTCTCATTGACCCGCCTCTACTTCCTGTCTGGTTATCCCACCTATACCTCCTGCCTGACTACTGAACAATCAGCGTTTATTTAAAATATAATTGACAGAATACAGATTATGGTCCCACACCAGTATCCAATTAATTAAATTGAAATAATCATTTTAATCATTCTGATAGTTTATGTGACTGACTACCATGGTTTTCCATTGTCGTGACCACATGGTGCTGGGCATAGTATTACGTGCCTTTAATCCCAACACTTGAGAGGTGGAGACAGCCTCAGGATTTTAACAAGTTTGAGGCTAGTCTAGGTCAAAAAATAAATAAAAAACAAGAAAAAGGGGGGTGGGCTACTATGAACATTCTCTGCCTGTAGCTTTTTTAGCTTTCATCGTAATTCTCAGCAGTGTCATTTCATTATTGAGTGATGTAGAACATGAACGAAGAGTTTATGGATATTTCTATCTACTGCCAACGTGTTTCCCAATGATGCCAGATAACACAATCGCCATAACTAGCTGGAATATTTGTAATTCAAAAACAAAAACAAGTAAACCTGGAGAAGACAGATGCAATCACTTTCTATATAGACTTGACTTCTGTCATCTCCATTATAGCTATTTGATCAATTTTAAATTTTTTTATTAAACTTTCATTTCTTTTGTGTACATGTGTATGCACACACATTTGACATTGTACATGTAGAGGTCACAGGACCTTCCACTCTGTGGTCCTAAGGATCAAACTCAGATCTTCAGGCTTGTCAGTAGGCATCTTTACCTGCTGAACCACATCACTGGCCAAGCCTCCAAACATGTTCCGAATACACGATTGTGCAGCAAATATCGTTGTGTCCATTTTCTTAGAATCAACCCTTAAACGTGAGGTGTCTGATGGGCAAAACAATGAGAATTTCAATGTATATCACTAAATTACCCTTATAAAATATTTATAACTCACATGTACCCATTTCCAAATGTATTGTTCAGGTATTTATTTTCTGATTTGATAGTCAAGAATTACTTGTATATGTCCAAAAATTTGGTGATTAAATTTCAGAAACTGAGAGCCAAAAGCCATGTCCTATGCCTCAAGTAGATTGAGGCGTATGTATAAGATTGCTTCTACATAAGCATATATAAGATTGCTTATATGTATATGAAAGGCTTGTTTCTGGATACTCTATGGCCCTGTTTAGTCTCTGCCTGCTAGCGTACATTCCAGAGCTGTCCTGCCTGTCCCCGTAGCCCAGCTTTGGTAATGAGGGCCAAGACCCTGGACAGCCAATCTTTTCTTCAGCCCTCTCTGCTTCCTGTCTCACAGGCCACGCCCCCAGTGACTATTCCGGGGTCTAAGTTCACCCCCAACGGCAACAGTTTCAGCATTTCCTGGCAGTCTCCTCCGGTTACGTTCACCGGCATTCCCGTAAGTACCGAAGCATGACAAGGTGAGCCAAACGGACACTGAGAGAGCAAACTGTGGGACAGACACGAGAAAGATGGAGTTGGTGCCCAGAGCACCACCACGGGTTAGCCCTATGTAGTTGAGGATGGCCTGTGACTGCTGCCCCCGCCCCATGAACGCTGGTATTACAGGTGCACTCATCACATCTATTTCCAGAGGCTCATGCTTCCTTCTTTTTTAAAATTGCTTTATTTTTCATTTTATTTGTATGTGTGTTTTGCTTGCTTGTATATCTGTGCACCACATGCATATAGTGCCTGTGGAGGCCAGAAGAGGGCGTCAGATCCCCTAGAACTGAAGTTACAGATGTGATCCTCCATGTGGGTACTGGGAATCAAACTCAGGTCCTATCTGGAAGAGCACTCAGTGCTCTTAATGACTGAGCCATCTCTCCAATCCCAGGTATATTGTCCTGAATTGACACTTGTAGATTCATGGGCAAGCTGTTGTAATTGAGGTGGGTGCAGTGTCTCTGGGAAAAGATGCTTTCCTGATACTTTAGGAAGCCAGAAGAGCGTGTTAGCTAGTGATGCTGGGCTGCGCTGTGTGCATCTCCAAGGCCTGTAGAGTGAACAGTTTGACCCACCTTTCTACAGAGCTTGTTTACCATTGCAAATCTCTCTGTAAATCTTGTTAGTTTGACATATTGTCCTGGAGGTATACCATTTGAAGATCCAAAAGTTAAATAAATTGAAATCACTTTCTTTTCTTTCAAAGCCTAAGCAAAAATAAAATAAAGTAAATGAATGCTACAAGTGCAGCCATATTTAGGTGCTAAATAAAAATTAGCTCAATGTATTAAATGATCCTGCTAAACCACTGTGGATTTACTTGGCTCCTAACAGTTCATTTTAAAACATTCTGGATCCGACCTAGTTTTCTCTGAGACTGACCTGCACTGTCCCCGTCTCCACAAGCGGGTGTGACTCCCGATGCGACTCAGAACTAAGCTAACAATAGCAGATGTTAAACCTTATTTTTTTCTCCCGCACTTACACAAAGCAACTCCTTGGCAAGCCCCAGCAAGTTCTAGAGGTTTCAGCTCCTAAGGATGAATAACTATGCTGTGTTCTGCCCATTAATATTTACCAAACTCAACAAAAGGATTGGTGACAGCAAATGGCCTCCTGCTGGCTTCCAGAAAATACTCCTGTGATTTCTCAAACACTACCATAAACATGGAATAATTACTAAAGTCACTGAATGGTGGTAACCCCTGGCCACTCTCAGGGAGTGACCGTGGACACTCTTGCGTTAGTTTTGTTTGTAGCACAGACATTTGTCCACTCCTGTTCCCATTGGATAAGAACCACTTCCTCTCAGGACTTTCCCTTGGGAGACATAAAAAGGCCCAGAGTGCCTTGCCGTTTGCACTTTGCCATTAGCCCATCTGTGATGGTTAGTGCTGCCAACTTGACAGAATCTAAAATTACCTGGGAGGCAGGCCTCCGGACATGCCTTTGGGAGACTGTCTTGTGTTGATCGGAATGGGAAGACTGGGGTAGTGGTGGTAGGGGTCAGGGAGATAGGCAGGCAGAAAAGAACATAGAAAGAGAAATGGGAAGCTGGCCTGCCATGGTTGGCACCATTTCCTGGCTGCGAATCTAGACAGTATAAATGAAGGGAACTCAACAAGAGATGAGTGTGTATCCATCACTCTCTGCTTCCTGATTGTGGCCACGATGTGTCCCTGCGTCAAGTTCCCACTGCCTTGGCTTTCCCATCATAGTGGAGTATGCCCTTGAACCGTGGACCAGAATAAAGTCTTTCCAGGGTATTCTATTACAGCAGCAGAAAGGGGGGCTAAGATGCCTTCTTTGATAGCCTAGCGCATTTAGTTACTTTCCCTGTTGCTATGACCAAATCACAACAAAAGTAACTTAAGGAAGGAAGGGTTTATTTGGTCTCACAGCCCACCATGGTGGTGTTGGGTGTGGCAGTGACTGGTGGCATTGGGTGTGGCAGTGAATGACCATGTTGTATCCATTGTGGTAGTGTTGGTTGTGACAGTGACTGGCCGCGTTGTGTCCTCCGTGGTGGCGTTGGGTGTGGCAGTGACTGGCCGCGTTGTGTCCTCCGTGGTGGCGTTGGGTGTGGCAGTGACTGGCCATGTTGTCTTCACCATGGTGGCGGTGGGTGTGGCAGTGACTGGCCGAGTTGTCTTCACCGTGGTGGCGTTGGGTGTGGCAGTGACTGGCCATGTTGTCTTCACCATTGTGGCGTTGGGTGTGGCAGTGACTGGCCGCGTTGTGTCCTCCGTGGTGGCGGTGGGTGTGGCAGTGACTGGCCGCGTTGTGTCCTCCGTGGTGGCGGTGGGTGTGGCAGTGACTGGCCATGTTGTCTTCACCATTGTGGCGTTGGGTGTGGCAGTGACTGGCCGCGTTGTGTCCACAGTCTGAAGCAGGGAGGTATGAACGCTGCTGCTCCACTCACATCCAGTCTTTTTCCGGGCCCAGGCCACAGGAACCCAGGTTCAGGGTAGGTTTTACACGCTCCCTGGTGCCTTTCTGGAAAGCCATCCCAGAAACACCCAGAGTGTGTGCTCTAGGTGACACACAGTCGCACCTAGACCGAAAGCTGCGGACCCGCAATGACAGCTCCTTAGCTTCTGCTTTAACGCGGGAAGACTTTCCAGCACTCGGCCGTTCATCTGGTGTAAAAATAAGGATAGAGTGAGACAGGAGAGCCTCGGGTTTCCTCACCGCTGCCGCAACAGTCCAAACTTGATTTCCACCGCACTCTGGCCTCGTGTACCAGGCAGATGCTCCACTGTGAAGCCACGTCTCTCTTTCCAGTTGTGATTTTGATACAGGATCTTATGTAATTGTTCAGGTTGAACTTAAAAACTCACACTATACTTTTTCAGTCACAGTCCAGCTGGCCTTGGTGAGCTCCCAATAGATCAGCTCCACTGTCTCCGTGGGTGGGTGCACCCCTCGTGGTCCCGACTTCTTTGCTCATGTTCTCCCTCCTTCTGCTCCTCATTGGGACTTTGGGAGCTCAGTCCAGTGCTCCAGTGTGGATCTCTGTCTCTATCTCCATCCATCACCAGATGAAGGTTCTATGATGATATGCAAGATATTCGTCAGTATTGCTATAGGATAGGGTCATTTCAGGTTCCCTATCCTCAGCTGCCTAAGGAACTAACTGGGGACCTTGGCTTGGGCATCTGGGAGCCACTCTAGGTTCAAGTCTCTTGCCAACTCTAAGGTGGCTCCCTTAACTAAGAATTGTGCTTCCGAAAAAGCATGGGATAAAACTGGACTCTCTGAGCATGGCAAACAATGAGGGCTGATGAGAAGCCAAGGACAATGGCACGGGGTTTTGAACCTACGAAATGTGCTGGCTTTGTGGGAGCCTAGCCAGTTTGGATGTTCACCTTCCTAGAAATAGATGGAGAGGGGAGGACCTAGGACTTACCACAGGGCAGGGAACCCTGACTGCTCTTTGAACTGGAGAGGGATGGGGAGAGGAGTGGGGGGAGCGGGAGAAGGGTGCGAGGAGGGGGAGAAGGGTGGGAGGAGGGGGAGGGAAATGGGAGGCTGGGAGGAGGTGGAAACTTGTTTTTTTTTTTTCTCCTTTTCTCAATAAAAAAATGGAAAGAAAAAAAAAAAAAAACCTCACACTATAGCCCAGGCAAATGTTGAATTCGCTACCCTGCCTCGGGCTCCACCATGCGTAGCTTCTTCTGGGCTGTTTTTAAATTAAACTGTCATAGAGATCTCATTCTGGGTTTTAACCAGCTGTCTGTCCTCCCAGTTCCTAAATATCTCTGCAGGATGCCAGCCAGGATTCCTTATGGTGTTTGTTTTCCAACAATGAATCTTCGAAGTCTTCTATGAACACTGTAGCTGTCTCTACCTTCAGTCTTAATCCTCCCCCATGAACTGGCCGTCTTTTGGTCCAGTGAGTTGTCAGTTAACACCCAGTGCTCAGCTTTTGGGAGCCACCACCCCAGGCCTGAAGGAATTCCTGGTTTATTTACTTATTCATGTACATATTTATTTACAAAATATTTCATTTCTGTGTTAGTTTCCAGGGATATTCTAGCAGCGAGATTGCACTTACATGCACTCTCTGGGTTAACTGGAGATTCTGCCTCCTGTGGCTGTTTCTCATTTATCCTTTTCATTTTGTTGTGTGGTTTTGTGTTATTTATATACATTTTATATCCGTGTGTGTGTGTGTGCGCGTGCATGCATATGTGTGTATACATGTGTGTGCACAAGGTGTTCAGACAACAGTGGACACCAGTTGTCCTCTTCCGTTGTTCTGCACCTTCTTGTTCCAGGCAGGTCTCTGTACCTGGAGCCCACGTATCTAGTTAAACTGCTGCTTAGTGAGCTCCGGGGACCTGCCTGCCACCACCTCTAGCACGAGGGCTGCAGTTAGTGAGCTCCTCGCATCTGCCGGCCCCGCCTCTAGCAGGAGGGCTACAGGTGTTGCTGTGTCCATTTTACAGGGGTGCTGGCTTCCACACTTTGTTCCTCATGATTACACCATGGGCACTCTATCAACTACTGAGTCTCTCCCAGCCTCCGTCCCCGATTTCTGATTTATTCTTAGACCAGAGAGTTTGCAGTCTCTCTGGTTTGTAATCTGCTTTGGCCGAGACTCAGGTAAACACTGCAGCAGTCAGACTTGCCGTTCCTATTTTAAGGGTCTGGTGTATTTTTAAAAGCTTTGCTGGACTCTAGAAAGACAAGAATGGAGCACAAATAGTATTCCTTATGCTCCTGCGTGCCCTGTCGGTACTTTCAGAGAGAAAAGAGTCGGAGCCTGCTGACCTGTTGCCCCGTGGGCGGGCATTCTGAACAGTCCATCCCACAGCCGCAGGGTTGGCATGTCCACGGACTTCGTGCCAACCAATGGCTCGCCCTAACCCCTAGAAAATAGGGAGCCGGGCAGAACCCAAGAACATGACTGAAGTGCCCTACTCTAAAATGGTTTTAGATAGCAACTCTCAAGTTTTTAAATTATAAAGAACATTAAGGATGAGTCTGTCTAAAAATTCCAAACCCAGTGGTTTTTATGTTATAGACATTTCTTCTGTCTTTGTGCTCTGAGACAGATGCCCCTAGGTGGTCACCCTGGGTCACAGGTGCCTTTCCTTCTGCACTTTGAGCTCTGGTATTGAAGAGAGCCCTGAGGAGACTCCTAGAGGAAGCCTTAGATCAGCCCCCAGGGCTGCAGGCTTCTGCTGACTTTTGTGTGAGCGCTTCCCGGTATATGGCCATGGAGACTCCTGTGCAGACACCGCTGCCCTTCGCTAGCCTGAGCTGGGGGTGTGCAGGAGGAGCAGGCCATCCTTACCACTGCTTTCCTTCTCCTCTTGTCCTGGTGGCTGGCCTCTAGTCTTCACAGCTACAAAATGCCGCTCTCTGATGTTTTGACTGAAAACTAAGAGGTCTTGGTCCCTTCGTCTCAAGCTACCACAGCAAAACTGCATACAGTAGGCAGTGTTATCAGCAGCCGGTTCCTTCCTGGAAGCCGCAAGTCCAACATCAGGCTGTTGACTATTTACCTCTGGTGAGAGCTCTCCTGGTTTGGAGACATCTGCAGTTGGACCTCTGCCTTCACTTGGCTTTTCTTCAGTGTCAACAGTGAGAGAGAGGGGCACATGCATGCCAGCCCTCTGGTATCTAGTCTTGTTGAGGTGCGTGCGTGCATGCATCTCTTCTTATAACAACACTGGTCCTATTGGGTCAGGGCCTACACTATGGCCTCATCTCACCTTGATTTCTTGAAGGGTTTATTGTTCAACACACCCAGACTGAGGATTTAAATTTCCAACATAAAATTTTAGGAGAAGTGGGGAGGTCAGGCATGCTGGTATATACCTCTAGTCCCAGCACTTGAGAGATAAAGACAGAAAAATCAAGAGTTTACAGCCAACCTCAACCACATAGTAAATTTGAGACCAGCCTGAGCTACATGTTCCCAAAAGTGGGAGGAAGTGAGTAGAAAGCCCATGCTTCACGTGGGGTAGTGTTGTAGTTCTGATATGAAGTGACATACCACACAGGTTCATGTGGACATCACTCGTCCCCACCTGGTGCTGTGCAGAATGTTGTGACACCTTGAGGAGGAGAAGGAGGAGCCTAGCTGGAGGAAGCAGGTTGATGCTGGAGGCTCCTAAAGTTCATATCTACTTCCAGCCCGGCCTACCATGTCCGAAACTGAGCAGGTCGTGCCCTCTCCCAGCATGGACGAATCCCTGAACTGTGAGCCCAGATAAGCTTCTCCTGTGGGTTGTTTCTGTCACGTATTCTGTCCCAATCACAGGAAAAGTAGCTAGTGCAACTGCTTGCCTAGAGACAGGATTGTAAAAGCTCCTGAGAGATTATTCCAGTCACTATGAGAAAGAGAAGATCACAAGGAAATTTCTCTAAAACACATACAGAGAGGCACCACGAATCTATATGATTGCTCCCATGTGAGGCACAGTTAAAATCCCTTGCTCTAGCATCCATGAACTCTGATCTCAAGCCTGGCACAGGACTTTTCTAAAGCAACCTCGTGTTGCTCAGCACAGTGCCTGGCATGAGGCTAGCGAGAGATGCTTACGCTTACTGCTGTTGTTACTGAGAACAACGGAGTCAGACTTCCTGTTTAGAAAGTGCTCCGTATAGCTCAAGTGTCCTCACTACCTGGGAGAGATTAGCTGTGATTTCAAACACTATTGTTTAGAGTTCTTTAAACCCCCCGGAAGTCATTATCTACTCAGTAAACATGTTGTGGTCACATAGCCTAATAATTGTATTCATTTATAAATAATAGCATCTAATACCATCCATAGTACTACAAAGTATGTTTTATACTTGGTAAAATATACTTCAAGGTAGACTTTTGAAAAAGTTTGAGGCACAAAACGAAGATTAAAATGTAGAGAGCAGGGCCGATGAGATCCTGGGTGGTAAATGCTTGCTGCATCAGATGACAAGCTTGAGGGCTGTCCCTGGACCCTCGTGCAGGTGGCAGCAGAGAGTGGCCACCCTGGTAGCCCTGGCCATGTTGGTGTTGAGGGTAGCAGTGTGGAACTGTGTGGAGCTTAGAGCTGGAAAAACCACTGTGTGCTCCGAACCTCGTGTGCTTTTCCATGGACATTTGGAAGATAATAATAATGAGAGAAGGAGTGTGCACGTCCCCTACTCTGTGGGGTCTGGGACAGGGACACCAATCAGCAGGATCCTCCTTACCTGGTCAGCTTAGCCTTTATTCCTCCAGCTACAGAGCTCCAGCCTTGCCTGTTTAACTCCTACAGCTGAAAATCAACAGTTTGTCTCCATGGTTTTTTGCGCACGGACCCTTGCCCACACCACTGAGGCCTAATAGCTGTGTGGGAGAGTCTGTCCTGTCAACCTGATTTTCCTTGTGTTCCCCAGGTGTCTCCAACACATCACCACCCAGTGGGCTCAGGAGAGCAGCGACAGCACGCTCACACGGTCCTGTCCTCCCCGCCCAGAGGGACAGTCAGCCTAAGGTATGATTGCTTGACGCTGCAGACTTCACCTCAAGGAATTTCCTAGAAAATGGGAAAATAGCAAAAAGGAACCAAAACCTTCCGGTTCCACGACCTTTTGTAGTTTCTCCTCAACCCATGAAGCATGCTTGCTTTCTTTCATTCCCATAGCTAGTAAAGAGCACTTCCATTTGTAGGGTAGGTAATGGTGGTCGCTGTCTTGCATTAACTCTGTATGACATGAGTGACAGTTTATGGTTTGCATCTAGATCCAGGAAAGTCTCCTGGGAAGCCTCCAACCAGATTTCAGAACACAGGAAAGGAAAGAAAGGCACACTGAAAATTTGGAAGAGTGGTGTTGCTCCCTGCCATTCCATGCTTGTTTGTTTGTTTTTGTTTTGCAGGAGGGAGGGTATTTGGGGGAGCAGAAAAGTGTGTGTGGTGTGTGTATGAATATATGCATGGTGCACCTGGGGAAGTCAGAAGACATTCAGGTGTTAGTCCTACTACCATACTTGGACAGGATCTCTCATTCACCCACCGCGTATGCCAGGCGAGCTGGCCCAAGAGCTTGCAGGGATCTCCCTGTCCGTGCCTCCCGCCATGCTGTGTAAGTGCTAGGATTACAGACGCGTGCTGTCAGGTTCAGCTCTTCAGGTTCTGGCGGTCCAAACTTACTCCTCGTGCTGGAACAGCAGCTGCTTTCTTCCCAGTCCCTAACTCCTCTGTTTACTTCCTTAACCTTACAAAATGACCAGATGGACATTTCCATGAATGAAATTTAGGAGCAGCTTAAGTAGAGCGGCCGGGCAAATACCCAGCCTGCAGAGAGCTTCTGCTCCCTCTGGGCAGGCTTTTGTCTTTCTCTTGCCCCCTCACTCTTCTGAACTCTCTCCAGAAGGCCCTGTCCCTGAACATATCTGTGCTGTCTGTCCTACAGGAAGCCCAGAGGTGAAGGCAAAAAGTGCCGCAAAGTTTATGGGATGGAAAACCGGGACATGTGGTGCACCGCCTGCCGCTGGAAGAAGGCGTGCCAGCGCTTCATCGACTGAGCCATCCCTGCCCCACTCTCACGACGGGTGGTGAGAAAGCCTCTCCTTCCAAAGGAAGCCATTCAAGGCCCAGGGAAAGCCTTTCCTGGAATTCTGGGAATATAATTCCATGGTGGAATTAAAGCAAAAAAAAAAAAATATCAGCACCTGCACTGCTCTGAGAGCCCAGACAAGAGCAGCAAAAGTGACTTTTTCCTTCAAAAGAAAAGTAACTTTGCTTACTCTCCGTCTGGTCTTAAAACTGGACTTCTGTAGCAACCTAACCAACCAGGCCATTTTACCTAGAAAGATTTTGATAAGCTTTCTGAATTATGGTATTTTCAAGGGGTTTTCACACGTAAACAGTACATTCATAAGCTACACAATATTAGCTAGTATTTGTACAAAGGATAACCCACCTTGTGAATAGCCGTCTCCCTGTTTTCCAGCCAGCTGCTTGGAGCAGTCTGGATCATGATGTATTTGAAGAAAGAGCTGCAGTCTGGCTGTCTTCTTCTGTGTCTGTTTTGTTTTCACAAAGGACCCAAGGAGAAACCTTGTAAAGATGGTAGCTTGGAGCCCCAGGTAGCTTGAGGCCAAAAGTGACTGGCAGTGGGAATCACAGGCAGACTTCAGCTGCAGGCTGAGGCCACGAGCCACTTCAGAAAGCATCTGGGAGTCGTCCTTGGCCCCCAAGTGGTGGTCCACCTACTTCTCTGCCTGGCACAGCTCAGGTGAGAGCTGGCACCGGGGCCATCTGGTAAGCCTCGACGCTTCTTTCAGGAATGTCACAGGAACTGCAGCTGGGGCAGTGCCTGGCTTTGTCTGGTCAATCTGTGGCCAGGACCGTGGGCTGTCATCCTGCTCTCCAAACACTGCCAAGTGGAAATCTCCAGACTGCCTCACAGCTGTGCTCCAGGCAGAGGGTGGCTGTCGTGCCCCCGTCTGTGAGAGAGTTCCACCAGGGCAGCAGATCCACCTCCCTTCTGAGTGCACTTTTATCCATGGCATGCTCCACATGTCGTAGGGTGAGTTAGTGGACAGAGTGGCATATATGGATAACAGATAGAAACCTTTCGTTTCTTACAAAAATATTAGAGAGATGAATTAAGAATTTGCTCAGAAACTAACTTAGGGGATGCCCAAAGGGAAATGCATCTTGGTATAGGACTCTCCCCATCTAATAGGGCCAGGGCTTGCACTGGAATGCCTATGGAATGTCTAAATCAGTGGATTTGCATGTTTGAGGGCTGGAGCGTGGTAGGCAGCCACCAAGCCTCGTCAGAACACTTCTGCCCTGCTTAAAGAACTGGATGTCCTGTACCTATGCAAAGTAAGAGTAAGAGCACCTTAGAGGAGGCACTGGGGTTGGGGGCGTGGTGTCAGCCATACGAATGTTAAGTGAAATTGCACAGAGAAAAGCTTAATATATGTTTAAAGATTGTACATAGCGCTTTTTTACAGAGTGGGACGAAGTCATCTAGCAATCAGAGACCCCTTTTATGTTAGGGTCATATGGAGGTTCTGCAGCGCAACACCCTGAATTTCTGCCTTCATGTATTTTGGCAATCTTATTTTTTAAATTCATGTGACTTTTTACAAGATTATTTCTTGAAAGAGATCCTGATCTGTTTCTTCAGGTATTTAAAAGAAAAAAAATTATTTCAAGAGACAAGAAAATGTGCTCTATCTGATTCCCCATAGGCTGATAGTCGACATCAGGGCACTGGCTCTCCTGGGTGTTTTGACGGTAACCAGGAAACAACATTTTTTTTAAACACAGAGCTGAGGTGTTCCCCACTCTCCCTCCCCCCGGGTATGTCCTCTCTCCTATCTCCAGTAGTCTCTGCTGTGAAGTGATGTCCTAGCTGGTCCAAGAAGTCCTGAGCCACACACAGATTGTCATGGCCAGCTGTCTGATCAAGCTCACTATGTGCTTAAATAATAGATGGACCCTAGGCCAGAGGTTTTTCTCCTCAGCAAAGTTTCCTGGAATTTATTTTATCTCAGATGAAGACTTTAATCAAAATACTGCAATGATGTGAAGTCAAATCCATCTTCTCCTGAAGGACTTCGGGGTGAAGGAATGCGCTATGCATGAGAACAATCCTTAAGCAAGGCGTCGTGGCCGTCTCCCCCAGACACAGCCCAAGGGTAGTTCTGCATAACTGCACATTGTCAGCGGAGCCTGGGTCCCTCCTGTCCTCTGCAGCCTTCATCACACCAGCTCTTCTGCATGGCCAGCCCTCATCGGGCTTCCAGGTGCAGACAAGTCCTAAGGCCAGTTCTGAACACACATGCTGCCCGTTCCCAGTGTGGAAGGGTGCAATCTCCAGGGAACCAGAAAGCTCTGGATTGCAACATACAGTTGCTGATTATATGAGTTACATTTTGTTATGAGTTACATTTTTTTAAGTAGTTATTTTGTTATTTGGGGAACCAAATGAAGTGCCAAATGAAGCCTGACTTTTCATCTGATGCCATCTCCATGAAGCTAAGTTCTTTTTGTGTCTGCATTTTGTGGAGAAGCAAAGAGAGAATGGATGAGAAGACGTATCCCAGGCGAGCTGGCTGCTAGCCTACAGCTGTGTGCATCCCCAGGGCTAACAGCCCTGTCTACAAAGGAAGGGTGCGCGCACTGAATTCCTGTCCAGTGGAAATGTCTGATTCTTTTTCTTCCATGATGTCCCTTTCTCCAAAACAGGTTTCTCATTTCTCCCTGAGAACGTATTTCAGTGACTGACAGCACATTCTCTAGCCAGGCAAAGCAAGCGCAATGGACGCGACAGGCAATAGTTTCCAGCCTCAGCCTTCCTGGAGGATGAACACTTTGTGTATGGAAGTCAGCAAGACAACATGGAGAAAACCCCCAGGGTAGCAAGTATGTCCAGGAGGCAGTGCAGGAGACCTGAGCCCTCCTGCCTCCAGCTCATCTTGGGGCTAAGCAGCCAGGGATCCTCCATGTCTGTTGCAACTGTCTGAAACAGGACAGGAGCTGCTTTGTCGAGGCTTACCCTTCTGCCATCTTTTGTCCGGAAGTTTCTCTGTGGAGTGAGAAAAGCCAGCGTCAGGAAGAAAGCAATGGGTTTCGGAAGCAGAGTGGGCTTTAGAGTGACTCTTGACAGCTCCATGGCCAAGAGGTTTCCTTAGGAGATGATCCCTTGCCTCCTGTGACCAAGCTCCAAATGAGCATTATCAGTAAAGAATAGCACTCTCTTCAGAGATGGTCACATGTATGTTGCAAAAAAATTCTGAAATTGAATTGTTCCCCATTGCAATTCAAGATGTCAGAAGTTGAAGTCTGTCATCTCTGGGCTCCTAGTGAGCCAACCTTGCAAGAGTCCATTTCATCTCTCACTTCAACTGTACTACATGACAAGGGTGGCCCTCACTGGAGTAGGTTTGAGAACGAGGTGAGGACTGTATCTGCGCAGGAGAATACATCGAGCTTAGCAGCAGAATACTGTAACACTGCTCATTTCCTCAGGGAAGCAGGAAGGATGTGCGAAGACAGATCTGGAGAACCCCAGGACTAGGAGGAATTGTATGGTCTCAAGTCGTTTCTTGTCAGAACAAGTTGATTTTTTTTTTCATGTGAACTCAGTATCATTTCAAGACAAATCCATGCCAACTGGACAGTGTCAGCTTCCGTGAGGTGTGGCAGATGCACCCACTGTCTTTTTGTAGCCGACCTAAAGCTGACTGGTGTTTGAGCCCGGGTATTCGTAGACACGGTGAGGCTTTCCCTGAATGTGATTGTGAACAAGGAGCCTCGCTGTTCCCTGTTGTAATCTCCTGGTTTGGGCAGTTATTGATCAGCTCTGCACAGCGTTCCCTAGGTGAAAGAGTGCTGTTGGAGACCCGGGCTTCGCTCTAGTGCCATGTTGAGGAGCTCACTGCTGTGGACAAGGTGCTGCTCTTTCTCACATCCTGTGGGATTCCCACCACCCATGTCATCTGTAGCATTGACCTGTGTCAGTAGATACAAATGGGCGACACAGCAGGTAGTATGGAGGCGCGGGTCTTACGGTGTGGGGCATGCAAGCATATGAGTCAACTGGAAAGTTTATTTCTGGAAGAAACCCACCAGCAGCACACAGGCTCCCCTGTCCTCCTACCTATGGGGATTTCTCCATGTTGCAACCATTTCATCCTGTCTTTTCTGCATTGTAGAAATTTAGCCAAATGGAAAGTTAGTAAATTCAATAAGGTTAGCACTTTTAGGTACCAATTGTCCTGAGTAACGCACACCAACACAGAGCAAGGAAGTACGTAATGTACTCGCGACTGACTTGCTTCTGCTGACTGACATTGGAAAGGTCTATTTCCAGTGATACACATGCTTTAAAGAGTGTACCTGCCACAGGACGAGCAATCAAAGTGAGAGCTTCGTCTCCTGTCCTGTTTTGTAAATAGCTCCTTGTTTTCCGAAGACAATCTCGTGTTTTATAACTTTTGTTGTGTGGGTCTGAGGATCACAATTGTAATGTGTGATATAATCTTAAGTACAATAATAATTACAACTTAAATTTCCAAATGAAAGAAATATACTGCTTCAGCATCTACAAGAGACATGTCACTTTTATAATGAGCGTTAGTACTTCTCAAGTTTATCAGAACTGGAAATATTTTACAAGATACAGTGTTTTATAATGACAGAGAACATGAACACTTTGTGGGAAATGACCTTGGTTTTATACATTGTAGCTTATTTTTAAAAAATGCAGTATTTTAACTGACAGGAAGTGTTGATATGGTACACAGTTCCTGTTCACCAATCCAAGGGCTATGCCTCTTTTAAGCAAGTGTTTTGATGCGTACTTTTTAAACCCTCTGAGCAAGGGTCGGAATGCAGAACAGACAGAAAGGTTATTTGCAAGAGAATCGATGTAGCAGCAACTTCCCCTTATCAGGACCAGTGTGTTTTCAGAGCATGGGGGGGAGGGTCATGTGAAGATTCACGTTTGATATATTAAACATAAGAGGAGATGCTCACAGATAGACTCCTAGGCTATGGAAAAAGTATCCCTCTAGTGTAAATGAATTGTGTTGAGTTCTCCTGTTGGTCTATTGGAGCTACATGCCTGCATTTAATGAACAAGTATCATTTGGTGGGAATGGCTAGACTCATAGGATACACACCCAAAGAACTTGTAACCAGTCAGCGTTTGAGACGATTTTATTCTCAGCACCGACTGAATAATTTCCTCATCAGAATAACTGCTTTGTTTGACTTTTGTTTTTCACGATGAAAACCTCCCAGGCACACAAGGTTGTGAGCAGAAGGTGGCAGTATTCCCATGGGACATAAGAACCACGCAGGGACCTACACAGAGAGTTGGGATCTAAGCTGCCCCACGTCCTCAAGCCCATGCACTGGTAAAGAAGGCATCTTTTCCTTCCAAGTGGTCAGTGATCGTAAAGCTAGTTTGGTTTTGCTAAGTTTGCAGACACAGCAGGACAGCCGAGCACTTGTTGGGTAACTCAGCGAGTGGTCAGAAGGCCAGCCAGGCCATAGTTCCGCATAAGGGTTAGATCTGTTCCGTGAGGATAATAAATGCACAGCATGAGGCAGCCCCATGCAGCTCGGCACCCGGTCTGTCCTGGCACCACCAGGAGCACGAGAGTGCCCAGCAGTGTTCACTACTACGTTGTTTTGCACTGTGTGCGTCTCATTCCACCTGCGAATGGAAGCGTCTGTACAGAGGCTGCTTTAGGATGCCTGGACAAGTCCTGTAGACGGTCAGTGCACACTAGGGACTGGTGGAAATGGTGTTAGGCTAGGCAGCTGACATCTTCTGAGAAGGAACACCCATACTGAGCCCCACTGAGCTTCTGACTATCAGAACCCACAGACATCAGGCCAGGTTGCTAGATCCCAGCTGGAGACAGTTCAGTGTTGACCACCAACACACATTCTTGGCCAGTACTAGAGACCAAAGAAAAGCTGCGTGAGGACAGAGGGGTCTTGTGCCACAGTTTGAGCTCTGGAAGTCAGTCCCACATTCCTTGGCTGACAGGCCCCGTTCCTCCCCGAGCACCACAGAATGGACATGCGGGCACAGTCTGAGCAATATCCCGAGAGATTATTCTCATGGGCGGCAACATAGTCACGTCGTATTCTTAGTCAGCCTTGCCACAATCAGGACGTACTAAGTCGTTTCCCAGCTCTGCTGAGAGCTGCCTCCTGCCACATCCAGGCCACACCCCAAAGTACTAAGTAGCTGTGATCCTGACTCTTACTGTGTCTGCTACCGTGACCACTGTGATGAAGGGCTGGCGAGACGAAACGGAAAGCAGTCTTGTGCCTTTGTAGAAGACCGCCAGGTGCCCCTCAAGTTTGAAGGTGACACATGGCGCCTCTTATGCCAAAGCCCTCTGCCCTCTCCATGCTTCCCAGGCCACTCTTACCCTTGTTCAGCTCTGATCCGTCAAGGTCCTTCCGCACTAATAGGCATTGGGTGTTTGGGGTGCCCGTTCCCTTAAAAGGAAGCTTTTCCACATAGAAAACCATCACATCTTTGACGACAAAATCAAAATGAGAATAACTTTGTTGTGTGGGGGTGGGGGCTGGGCAGATTTTCACCAGAGCCACTACATTATTTTTAAGTCTATCTTATATTGAAGTCCAGATGTTATTGGGACAGTCCTTATGGTAAAACGTGTCTCATTCAGACATTATTTCCTTTGATCTTCATAAGAACCTAGTGTAGAAAACTAAGGTCACTCCCCCAATCCATGGCAGTCCAGAGTAGTCTCGAACCCAGTGAGTCGGCACCATCGTTACCTGCAAAGAGGGAAGAAGGGACTGGCTTGGCTGTGGTCCAGCGTGACTCAAGAGGCTGCCATGTTCTCCATGCAGAAGTAAAGAGCACACTCACTTGTGTTACTAAATGCAAATGTAGTCACCCCCAAGTGTACCCCTTACTACAGCTACCGTGCTGGTCACCAAGGAATTTATTAGCTAAAGCAATATTCTAAATAAAAAATTTTGACTCCTTGGGGGAAAAATACTTTGCTGCTGGCTTCTAGCTTTTCATACTCCTTGCGTTTACATTTGAATGCACGTTAAACAGTGCAGGCAAAGTTTGGGGTTGTATCTACTGGGATGAGTAAAAGGCTGTCCAGGGTATGAATGTCCTTCATCCAAGGCTCTGTGTGCCAGGCTGAGTTGGAACATCCCCAGTTCAGAGTAAAGTTCACAAGGACTTTTGTCAGAGGACTAGAAGGAGCGCCCAGAAACCTGTATTGACCTGTTACCTAGTTCATTAGCAGGGTCACTTATTATTATTATTAACGATGCCGTACTGTTGTAAGTAATTCAGTGCTTGGAGGCGGAATGGTTTAGCCCTTTCCTACGTGGTGGAAAGACAGCTCGTGGTATAGCTTTGCACTGATGTCGCTGGCACACATAGTAATCGTGAACAAGAGAGCAAATAACTAGACTTTGAGGTAAGGTTCAGAATTAAATAGTAGTCCTCTTTTTAGTATTCTTCCTCTATGGTATTATCCATAGACTTGTGAGCATTCGAAGACAGCACCCCTCATGCTGCAATACCACCAGAAAGTCATCCTGGGGGCTGACTGTTAGACTTCCTTTTTAGGATCAATTCCCCCAAAATTTAATTAAAAAAATAGCCAGAGTGGAACATGGCAACCCCTGAAAAAGGCAAGCGAGCTATCATTAAAGACAGAAACAGTTGGGGAAACCAAGGTGCCTCCCATTTCTGTCTGCATTGACTGTCCCTAGCTGAAGAAGAAACCAGCATCCCAAAGAAGACGGAACTTGGCGACTCTGGGAGAAGTCCCCGGCTAATTGCCATTTTCAGCCACCTGGCAGCAGTATGCAGCTTGTCTGGTGGACACTTTTTTAGTCCTTTTTTAAGGTCCTCATCTCCCCAACCCAGAGGACTGAGAGTTGTCTTGGTTCATTTCCAAAGCCAGGGATGAGCCATTCTTCACTGGTTGCTTTCTGGCTGTTCCTCTGAAGTCTCCCAGGGCATGGATGCTTACCCCTGTCTTGCTCATCTTGCTCAGCAGAGGCTACCGCCATCCTTCAAGGAAAGTGCCGGTCCCTGTCTGAACAGGTCTGTCTCCCTCAGCACCATCCTAACACACTGAGTACAGAAGATCCATTTCAGATCTCTGAGAGAAGTCCCTGGCCCTGCCTCCCCTGTGGCTTAGGGCTCTCCTTACAGCCATTGCACAGAGGTGAGAGCTGGCTGGGCAAAGGGTGCTGACGTCTGTGTCTGCATTAGAAGGGAGGCCTAGGATAAAAACCTTCCAGGCTCTGGCTTCTGCCTGAGGATAGGAGTACAGGGATGGAATTGGCCTTCCCTGTGTGATGGCGGGGTGCCTTTGGGATAGAATTGTTTCTGTTTTGTGTCTGGAAAGCAAAAACTACTTCAATCTGTTCACCTTGTTAAACATTCATCTCTTACCACCCCTTATTTCAGGCATAGGTAACAAGACAGAAATGGAAAAGGGCGCCCTAAGGGCTTTTGGCTGTTCTTGAGTTTGAGTTACCCTCGGGGAATCCATCCCCAAACTGACAGATGATAGTCAGTGGCTGTGACATGGCAAGATCAACCCCAGTGTCCTGACTGGAGAAAGCTCCAATAAAATCCAAAGGTTGCAGAAAGCACATGGTACCTCCCAGTGCGCACAGCTCCTATGGCAACTAAAAATACCCTGGGTGTAAACATGAGTCAGGCCTGTGGATCGGACAGTATAAACAAGCCATTACTCCATGTTTCCCTACGGTGTGCCCTAAAAGTCCTGTCTTTGTAATTAATGGCTGGACTGTGGTCAGCCACTCAAACACTCTATGGATCAGCTCGTATGCCCTAGTGTAAGTTTCCAGAATACTTCATAGCAAAGTCCCATATGCATGGAAGAACTCAGGGTAAGAAAACACGCACTAGGCCCCAAAGGGTTCAAGGTTATCATCAAAAGCAAATGTCAAGCGGCCTGTGGTCATTGTTTGCACAGGAGGGGCTGGAGGGGGGACTATTAGCTGCAGGTCCTCCATTGCCCTTAGTGGTGGGATTTACACGCAAACTCCGATGTTAAAGGTGAGCCACCTTTGAAATTGTTTTCTACACCAAAATATCTGGGGAAAAAGTTACCGAATATTTAAAGTGGGGTAGTTAGGGGAAATGCTGTCTCATAACAGAAGCCAAACTGAAGTGGAGGGAGTGGCCTCTGGGACACTGGGGTGGCAGCTATGAGCACGGACAGGCACTGACCAAAGGTGTCACGGCAGTGCTATCCAGCATACATAGAGGTCTTTCGAGGTACAATCTTGCCATCATTCAGGGGTAAGTACTTCCTTACAAAGTCTTTAATAATGAGTGAATGTATAAAATTATAAACTATGCATTTTCAAAGAGAAACATGTATTTTATATCAAATCCAAGAACTTTTTTTTCATAGAAACTTATCACAACTACAGATTATTCAAAATAAATGAGAATACAAATCTTCATAAGGGTGTGGGGTGCCTTTGTTTTCTTGTCCGATGGTTTCAAAGACAGTGCATCCAGACTTTCATCTGAGCTCCGGACTCAGAAAGAGCAAAAAACAAACTCTAGCCAGTACAGGGGCTGAGGATACACTGCCCATGTGGCATTCACAGACTGTGCCGAGTCCTTAGAGACTGGTGCTGTAGTCAGATGGATCAACAGGGGGACGAGGGCCAGGGATGGGGCTTGGCAGAGCACTGACCTGGCTCATGCGAGGGCCTGGCTTCAGTCCCCAGCACTGGGAAATAGGAAGAAGCGGCAAAGGAAACTGTAGAAAGGTCTGTCTGTTGTGGTTAACTCTCCACCCAGCCAGGGTAGGAGTGTTTTTCAAAGAGTTTAGGCTATAGTTTCAAAGAACAAAATATAAAAATACTATCTGACAAGGCAAATAGTCAATTTTCTCAAAATTACACGGAGATGATCACTTATATCTTGAAAAATCTGTATAGAATATACCCGAATTTCTCCAGCCTCCTAGGCATTTTCATGAGACCTTCCCTCTGATAAGGGTCTTTCCTCTTCAGTGCTGTCTCCATCCTCCAGCTGACAATGAGGGACGCACTCCGTTTCTCTGCTGCTCTGGTTCTCTTCTGTGTCTGCTGAGCTTTCTAGGCTGTTTGTAAAATATGGGAAAACACGCTTCTAAACCCGGTACTTAGGTCATGCTGGATGTGTTTGCTACCTTATTAGAAGTTAGTGGGGGAGGGGCGGCCTGTCTTTTTATATGATTTTTAGCCAAATCCAGATGTTCCGATACTGTTTCTGTCTGTAAGTACGGCCTGCAGAGGTTCAGGTGGAGAGAGACATTTTCTGAGACTGTTCCTCAGCCATGCTCCTTGCCAGCTTTTGGCCCACTGTACATAGATTTGTCAAATGTTTCAATGATGTTGTTTTTCTAAATGCTGTTCCTAACACATTTTTTAAATTTTTTTTGTCCTTTATTGTTCTGGACTTTGTGTTTTACAAAATGTTTCCTAAAATTTAACACCAGGAAAAAGTATTTTAAAATAAACTGGTGCTAATTGGAAAAGAAGAAAATTTTTCAGTTTCAAGATTTACAAAAGAAAATGTTCACACCAGTTAAACTGCACTTTCCCAAGGGGACGGCTGCTGCCCACTTACAGAGGGCATCCAGAGGACCAGCAGAAGTTCATAGTATTGCTGGCCCGTTGTGTGTCCCCCAGAGAGGAGGACTTGCTGGGTGGTCCTCAAAGCATGTTTTAGAGGGGAAGGTGTAGAGTAAGAACCCTCTAGAAATAGTCTTCTGGTCTTTGGACTTTCATGTTCTGTAATGCTTAGCTGTAACAATTACTATGGTGTTGCCAATCTTGTCTGACGTCATCGTCAACCTGTACTGACTCTGTGTATGGTTCTACCCTTGGCTTGCACTGGCACAAACCAAGCCAGAATACGGGTCTTTCAGTAAGACCCTTCTGATTTATACGGTGTCCACACTCATGAATTTAGATGCACTTGTAACTGGTTAATCACCACGAAGTAAGTCTAACTTCCACTTAATAAAAATTTTTGTGTATCTGCTTCTATTTGGAGCCATTTATTTATGCAAGGCCTACCATTTATATCCAGAGTCATAAGTGTATTGCTTACTTGTTCGATTCTGCAGCAGAATGTCTACAGCAACTTGAGGGAGGGAGAGAAGGAGGGTTTTTTGGCTCATGGTTTATGGGACTCTAATCCATCATGGTAGGGGGCATGGAGGCTACAGTTTTGTTTCCATGACAACTAAACTATGCAGCACAGCTAGTTACATCTTGGCAAACCAGAAATCAGATCCTCCAGTCAAAAGCAGTGCCAGTCTCCTCCCTAAGCCAGGGACCCACTGCCTCCAGCTAGATGCTGTCTCCTCCCCAAACCTAGCTTCCCAGGACAGGGCCACCAGCTAAAGGCTTAGCATTTAAACACACAAGTGTGTGAAGCACACCCAAACTCAATAGGACGTTTGGGATTTAGCCTAGAATTGTAACAACTGTTTAAAAGCAAAGACATACCTTCATTATATCAATTGTTCGCCATCAAGGCCACTCCCACGCTCAGCCTCCTGCCTACACCTTGAACCACTGTTTTTGCCCAGACCACAGCTGCTTGCCTGTTTCCGGCCCTGTGTTAAGAAAACCATGCCCCATGTCGGTACCAATGCTAAGCCTCCACTGAACAGGTTTCTTGCCACAGAACTGACTGTGTCCACCTCCAAGAGCCAGATACACGTGTGCAGCAATGGAAGCTTTGGAAGCCAGTTTCCCTATGGCTAGATGAACTAACTACTGCACTTTTTAATACTTAAATTTTCAAGTATTAGGATGATCATAAAGTTGATGAGCCTGGCTTAAGCAATATCCCTTTCTAGTCCAGCCAGCCTGAGAGAGTGAGGAGTGTGCGCTACTGGTCCTGAGCAGCTGACCTAGCGCCAATGCTGTAGCCTCAGACAAATGGGTAAACGGGGGTCCTGAAACACCACATGTCCAGGTACACATCAACAGATGAACGCCAAAATACTCTGCCATACAGAGCCCTCTGATACTCAGATATCTCTCGTCAAATACCGGAATCTTCTCAATTCAACTTTGTACAGCTCCTTCTAAAATAAAAATGCCCTGCACATGTGCGTTGGGGTGTGGTGGTTAGTATTCATGACAGTTAATAAGATGAGCTCTATGTGGCCAGGTTTCGTATCTGCCTACTGAGTGGGGGATTAGTGGATGCAGTTGGATACTGTCTTAGGGATATTTTCATCTATTGCTTCAATGAAAACACCATGACCAAAAAGCAATTTGGGGAGGAAAGGTTTATTCAGCTTACTCTTCCACATTGCTGTTCATCACCAAAGGAAGTCAGGGCAGGAACTCAAACGGCAGGATCCCAGAGGCAGGAGCGGATGCAGAGGCCATGGAGGGTGCTGCTTACTGACCTGCTTCCCCTGGCTTGCTCACAGACCCCCGACTAGCAGCATGGGCATGGCACCATGCACCATGCTAGACTCTTCCCCCAATGATAACTAGTTGAAAAAATGCCTTCCAGCTGGATCTCATGAAGGCTTTTCCTCAGCTGATGTTTCTTCCGCTCTGAGACTCTGCTTGTGTTAAAGTGACACATAAAACCAGCCAGCACAGATACCTATCGCTTGCTCCAGCCTAGTCACCTCCCACTCACAGAACTTCCTTGATTGCCTTGTCTTCAGCACAGGGACCAGGTGCAGGAGATGCTACCAAGGCTGCTTGCTTCTCGTTGCCAGGCAACAGGGCTGGGACTTTCTCACCACACCTCTATGGCATTGTGGTGGAACCTCTCACCTGGAGCTCTGTTTCAGCTAGAGGTGGTCAGTTAGCATTGCCGTGGCTTCACAATGGTCCTTAAAATGATCGTGTGGTCAGTAGTAACCTAGCACTGTATCCCAGTGCCTGTGGTGTTCACTTTCTTCTCATGGAAGCAGTTTAGCATCCCACATCACAAGGAAGAGGCTGGTACAGTGTTTTTAGAGGGGCTGGAAAGAGCTCAGTGGTTAAGAGAACTAGTGGTTGCTCTTCTGGATGACCTGAATTTGGTTCCCAGCACCCAGGTCAGGCTACTGACTGACAACAGCCTGGCAACTCCAGCCCCAGGGAAGCTGGCATCTTCCTCCTGGCTTCTGTACTCACATGCTTGCTCCCACACACAGATTTACACATCTGCACCAGTTAAATCATGAAAGAACACATTTACATACATGTTACAGTATAGTATGATAATTGCTCTATTATAAACCTCCTAGAACTTTATACATATTAGACTTTATGGGTGTGAAGGAGGCAGCATATATACAGTGGACAGGGTTCACTCCTGTCCAACAGTAGAGCAGCTGAGTCATCTTTATCCAAGAGTCATATTCATAAAGGTTAATTAAATGGTTCAAGTCCACCGAGCGCAGGGTACTGGGTTCTCCTCTCCCTGAGTTCACCCGGTGATCACTCCTTGCCTTTCAGACCCATTTCTACATGGTCCACTGTGAGTCGCATACAGACCTACTACTGATCTTCTGTTGAAGCTGTCTGGGCCATGCTGTACCTCATTCTTCACATCTTCACCATGTCCTTCTACCTCTTTCTAGATGTTCATTCTCATCTTTTCTATCTCCTCTTACACATATACCCTCCACAAATCCACTGCAAGGGAAGCTTGGTTCATAGAAGACAACCAGAGCTTCTTTGTTCTAACCCATAACTTATCTGCGAGGCCCAGATACGATGCCAGCTCTCCTTTGACAGTGCTGCCATCCTCCAGCCTCTGTACTCCTGAGGAGAGTGTCCTAGATGTTTGACTTGGTGCCTGTGTTTTAGCCACAAAGGACAGACAAGAACATCAGTATCAGTGAACAGTTGACTGAGGTTTCTGTCCTGCCCAGTCCTGCAGTTGTTCAGTCCCAAAGAAACACACAGAGGTCTACATTAATTATAAACTAGTTGGCCTATATGCTCAGGCTTCTTATTAATTCTTTCTTACATCTTAACCCATAATTCTTGTCTGTGTTAGCCACGTGGCTTGATACCTTTCCTTAGCGAGGCATTCTCATCTGCGTCCTTTACATCTGGGTGACCACTGAAGACTGAGTCTTTCCTCTTCCCAGAATTCTCCTATTCTCGTTTGCCCACCTCTATTTCCTGCCTGGTTGTTCCGCCTCTACTTCCTGCCTGGCTACTGGCCAATCAGTGTTTTATTAAAATACAATTGACAGGATCCAGACCATTGTCCCACAACAGTGAACAGTGCTTGAACTGCCTATCCTGCAACTCCAGGAATGCTCTCCTGCACAGACAGCAGCTGCAGCAGGCTGGGAAGCCTTAATGTGTGAGGAAACAGGAAAAGCTAAGGAGAGTCTTAGGCCACAAATGCTTGCCTACAAAGGAGTGTGAAATCATCTAGCCCTTTCTATGAGGACTGCACAAGAATTTAACCAACCACAGATTGTAAATGCCTGGAGCAGGGGAGTTGTTTTGGTACTGGGCATATACAGATTTTTTAAAAAAAATTACTCTCTAAACAGAATAACTGCTATTCAGACAGCATCTACACAAGATACTAAAAAATCTTGGGATGTTTTGAAGTGTTCCAGGAGATGTGTGTAGGTCATATGAAAATACCACACAATTTCAAAGAGGGAACTTGAGTATTAGGATCTGGGTGTCCAAGGGGGTCCTAGAACCAAGCTCCCACTGATTCAGAGGAATAATTGTACTCAGTGAACAAGTTCCTATCCGATGTTAGCTGTCCCAAGGGACAGCAGCGGAAAACACCTGAGGATGTCACAAATTTCTCTAATGCAAAATATGAAGCTCCCGAGCCTCCAAAAGTCCCGCCCAAGAACTCTGTCAGGGGCGCAGGCTGACTCCTGCTCACGGTGGCCACCGTGTGCGGTGCATCAAGTCTCAACATGTTTTTAAATGAATAAGCACACTGTTCAGAGAGATACACTCTGCTTTCAACCTATCATTGCCTGACCCAAACCAAAAGCAAAAAGCAAAGAGAGAGACATTTAAAAACTGACACAGATACCTATATAACTCAGAATCTTGAATCTTCTTTTTAATAAATATATCTTCAGAATTGCCAACCCCAAATGACTGTATCGATTAAATGACAGTTACCCAACACATGAGACAAAATGTAGAATTATACGTACCGTTTTTATGTAGAATTGCCCTGCACATAGCAAGAATTCCGTAGATAAGTAGAAAAAGCTAATGCTTCTAAGTGAAACAAGCTGCAGCAGAGGTCTATGCTATTAAAACACAGAGCAAATGCGATGAAGTCATGAGAACATTTGGGTCTTTGACACAGGAGAGGGGCTAGGCTGCCATTAAGATTTAACACTTTCAGGAGTAGGGTCAGGGTATTGCAAGGAATGCTTCTCTGGTTTTATCTTTTAGTTTAATTCTAAACAAGTATTGCCTAGCCAACAGAAAATAGAACCCGAGAAACCCACAATATCACAGACAGGGCACAAGGGGACAAGCAGTGTTGGTCACAGTGAATGCCCTCTGTGAGAGGGGTGACGTCCACTGCTCTAAGCAGCAGACATTGGCCTGGTGGCTGACCCCCGAGTCTATTCCCCCAAAGAGTGGTATACCCTGGAAGCCTGAAAACAACCGTTCTCACCACCAAGTAAAACCTGTCCACTACCCACAAACCCTGCCTTCACACAGCCCACAATTAGCAGGCCTGTCACTACCCCTTTCAACACCACCACAGAGCCTCCTGGTGTACAGTCTGTTCCTTTCTGTGGCACTATCATGCCAAGATCATCACAGGAAAATACCCCAGGTCAGATGCTGCAGTATAGCTCATTGCTGGCCTTGTAGCAATGGCTAGAGATGTGGGGCGCCAACTGCACCTACGTAACTGGTCAAAAGGAATAATCCCAGCCGGGCGGTGGTGGCGCATGCCTTTAATCCCAGCACTCGGGAGGCAGAGGCAGGTGGATCTCTGTGAGTTCGAGACCAGCCTGGTCTAC